AGTCTATATGCTTTCCTTGGTGCAGTTGTTCCATATCTCTACAAGACCAAAGATACTGTGATCAGTGCAAAAATACTTGAAGCTGTCATTATTTAGGTTCTTTTTCAAAGCGTGCACGTTCCAACACATGATAGACAGGTCCTTGGCGTTGTCAATTTCATTGTCACGCAAGGCCGGGCCGCACTCCTATCTGTGTAGACTGGCGTTGAAATTGACATCGGGTTGTGAGTCTGCACGTGAAGTTCCTGCCCCCTGGTCAGCCTGATTCAAAACAACAACCTCGCCCTTGTCAATATCATAGGTGTACATATGTCTGTCAATATACAACTTGTCAAATATTTGATAAGCTCGTTGGTTATTTCTCCTGGCCTCCATCATCATCGATTTCAGATGTCTCCTCTTCTCTCCTACTCTCCTCGAGAAGTCTTCGCTAATCCACATCGATGTACCCTTTAACTTCCTGGCTGATGTAAATATGTCTCATCTCTGTTGATCATCGGGGATTAAAGCTATTATCGCCTTACCTCCTATAATCCTGTGTGCCCGATTGATCACTATCTTAGAGTCATCAAGTTCCAGCCGATCTTTAAGGACTTTCCTTACCATAGATTCACAATCATCCCAGGTTTCGTTTGGTCCAGATTCGGGAACACCGTGAAATATCACATTCGGTCGTCTGCTTTGATTTTCAAGGTAGTCCAGCTTATCTTCGAGGTTATAAACATATTCCCTCATTTTCCTATTTTCCGACTCCAAATGTTCACATCTCTCTTCCACAATACATAACTGATCTGTAAGGCTCTTAACAGATGCATTAACATTGTCCAACTTACTGTGAAGGGCCTTGTTGGATTCCATGATGTCGTCCATTTTAGCAGTCAGTCCTTGAATGGCCTCGAAAACTTGGTCACTTTTGCTTTGTTTTGGATCAGTCAAAAGGATTTGTTTGCTGACACCACTGCAGCTCCGAAGCATACGTTGATCCTCACATGGCTTATCAATTGGTCCTGGATTTAATTCGACACCAGCACAAAACAATAACATCAGAATCAAGTTCAACACCATGTTCGTCATTGCATGTTTACGAGGTATTCGGGACGCCACTGCCCTGCTACACATTTTGTTCAAAATCCACCACTGAACAGGTACAAAACACCCGATTTTCACCCGAAACTGTTCCGTACATATTCCGATTATGCTACATTGTATATATAGTCTCGTCACTGTCCAGATTATTCAGCTATTTTAAACAACACACGGAGCTATTGCAACACCCGACTTGCTCGGTCCGCCATATTGCCACATTGATATCCCTTCCATCGCAATTAGGCCATGCCCTGTGTTGACCAATGCAGTCGTTGTTGAGGATGTTGTCGACTCAATATGACGCGTCGAACAGGACGTCTTGCTCGTAGACCTTCTGCTCTTAAACGGTTTCGCGCGGTCTGGTCGGAGATTCTGCGAAGTCCGAAGTCCGAGTATTAGGGATGCGGTTGAGGTTGCTGTGGTCGTCCTTTCACGTAGGTGGCGCAGTCGGATGTTGCCATCTTGGACGGGCGTGGTTACACTTGGTCGTCCCGACCTTGGCCGATAATGTGTTGACCCATGCTGTTGAAACCGATCCCATAGCCTTGTAATAGTGCCGGGCGCTGTCACTGAAAACCCTGGCTACAGCCGATCGGGATTACCCTGCCTGCAAGCGGCCTATAACGTTGTTTCTTTGCACTTCTGTAAATATTGGCATGTTGTTGAACTGTCACTGTTCGATTGACGCAGATACCAGGCAATCAAAAACCCTGCACTTTAATACCGTTCATAGTGCTGCTGCACGTGCAGTACGTGCAGCTTCATGGCCCTTTTCTTAATGCACTGGATGCGTTTTTTTCCGAATCGTACATGTTTCCCGACTAATGATTTGCATGTCCTTGTTGTGATCATTTTGATCCGGGAAATTTGTCACTGACACTATAACACATTAAGCCTCTCCTTTTTGCACCTCTTGGTCCGCTTATTTTGCTTTTATGGCCAAACATATCCGTATTGCGTGTCTTTTTTTCAGAGTACATTCTTGCAGGTCTTGGCAGTAGTAAAAATCAATCCTGGGCTGGGCAGTATAAAACCTACTTTTTACTAAAACTCAAAATCAGAACATATGTAACATTATGTATTCCCAAAATACATATTCCCTAAGTGATTCGGAAAATATCCAAATTCCCCTCACGAGACTAAAACCCTCACATGATTATTTCCCCATCTACTATCTGTGGAATGAGATTCCATTAAATGGAAGAACTTGCAGTTCAACTCAACATTTTAAGACACTTATAAGTCAAAATCAGCCCAAGGCCCCACCGTACTTCTCCTTTGGACATAGAAACATCATATTATACACACAAAGCTAAGACATAAGGTTAGTCAGTTAAATAATGATTTACTAAACTAGGAACTTAGGACACAGCAGAATGTTTATGTGGTAGTAAATTTGAAAATGCTTTTACATTTTCTTTGAATGTGACTTGTTTAATGAAGAAAGAGCCATTTTACATAGAAACATAAGCAGCATAGCCGAAGATACACCAACTGATCTCAATTTGATATTCAATGGACATGGGGGATTTACCAGAGCAAGATAACATAGACATTTTCAATTATTAGAGAGTTATATACGTTATATTAAGAGATTTATGTAAACTATATTTTTCTCACTGTTCACTTTTCTTTCCTATTCCTATCTTTCGTTCTGTTCCGTTCATATTTAGTACAAATTGTAAACCAATTGTCTATACATTTGGGAGAAGGTGTCCTAAGTTGGATAACTTGTACCAAATCCCATTCATTTTTTGTGAATAACTTATGTTTAAATCAAACATTTGGAAATAAGATAAAACATCGCGAAATTGGGCGGATGACATACGTACACCCGTCTGATATCCTGCTCCACTTACACCGGATAATGACACGCGATCACAGTCTTTGCTCAGACAACGGTACATCGACTCTCGCATCCTCACGTGTCGGGATAATTTGTTTTCTGTCGTTATCAATTATCGTTCCCATAAACTATTGTTTTATTGCAGTTTTTTGTGGTAACACGTAATACAAAAAAATTATTAATGATTCATTGTCAAATTCGTGATATAACTTTAGTGCTCTGAGTATGCTTTCGTAAAGCAGGATTTTCTAGTCTACCATTTGATTGTCTTGTTTGTTCACAGGCTGCAGTCACATGACAGGGATACAGCTGTGCGGCGTCAGGAAACAAACACTTATTTATTTTGCAAATTGTGTGAGTGGCTGGTTCTAAATGGGTAGGGCAGGACACGTTTAACCTGTTCGCGGACACATGGTGTCATGTCTGGTTTTCAATTATTCATTCAGGTAGTTTTCCCCGCTATTTTGGCTTTAGCGACAAACGGAGTCTGTTTCGGCGCATGGTCGGGACTGGTGGTTCTCAGAAGATGACGCTTTGTATTTGTATATAACCTTTGTAGCCTGGAACCACATCCTCGAAACAGTTTATGCGATGTCTCTTTTATGTGAGGAAGTTGACTATGTTCTTGTATAGAAGGTATGTCAACTTCCGTTGTTTTAGTGACAGCCAAAAGCACAAACTCTGAACCTTTCTTACTTTTACAGATTATTGGCGACACATAAAAGATGGCATAGAAATACAGGTTTTATTATAGCGTTATGCATGGAATGGGCTGGTGGGTGGCCTTGTAGTATGCTGCTCCTCAAATGGTACAATGGGTACAATGTGTAAAGCCATATAAGTCTATAATGTTGCCATTATTAAGTTGCTGAACCAAATAAAGTCAGTCGGTAAAATGGGCTGTAACACATAATAGTTTCTATGTTCTATTGTAAATCTTGAGTGAATATTGTTATCAAATTGTTAAAAATAAAAATAAAATTGATAAATTAATTACGAATATCGACGAAATGTGGGATGAAAGAGGCTTAGTAAAGGACAATAGGCTTTGGAAAAAAAGAGTTAAAAACTACTCGCTGTGTGAAGCCTTAAGTACGCACTATACAATTTCACATTCACAGACACAACTACAGAGACATCTAGGTCCCATAGGCCCATATGGGCTATACATGTATGTACCCGTGAAGATCCGGGTTAGAAGAGGTCTTCAGCAACCCATTGTTGTCGTAAGAAGTGACTATGCTTGTCGTAAGACGCGACTAACGGGATCGAGTCGTCAGACTCGACTTGGTTGATGCATGTCGTCGTGTCCCAATTACGTAGATCGATGCTCATGATGTCAGTCACTGGATTGTATGGTCCATATGGAAATCTGTGACTGAAGTTTATTGTAATTTTACGCAATCATCACCTGTTGACCAGTTGAGCTTAATGCGTTCCGGTGCGCTTGTAAAATCTCTAGCCGCCGATCTTTCTATTGCGGGAGTGGTGGGAGGGGAGTGTTTGCATGTGAGCAAAAGTATGGATACATGAGGGCTGGCTTGGATATAGTGAGACGGATGTTGGGGTATGGTGGGGAATGATGCGAAGGGCGCGGATGTATGCATGTGAGTATGGGTACGGATACACGAGTGTTATCTTTTTTCTATTTTCTTTTTCTTCTTGATATGGTGCTACATAAATATGTCTGTATCACATAATGTCATAATGTCTCATGGTTCCGTTTTACAAGGGCATCCATATGTGAAGGAAGGTTAGTGGTCAGATAGATTAGGAATTAACAATGACCCGTCAACAAACGTATCGCTGAGTACACAACGTGATTTTAGACAATCACTAATGTTTATCTACCACTCCTCTAATAAGACTGACCTTAAAATAACAAGATTAACTGAGCGTGAAGGAGAGACAATCCACTAATTTTCTAAGGCTGTCCCGCATTTCTCTCTCTATCAACAACTCAAGACATGCCACTCAACATATGCCGTCTAGCCCGGCAGCATCTGGTTCTAGCTTCTGATTGGTAGAATCAGAGTATATAGCAAGACATCACTTCGCGACAGTACAATCGATCTGAGTTTTGCAAACTAACAACTCACGATGAAGGGAGGAAATACTATGAAGAATCTCGATAAGAAATTCGTGTACTGTGCCATCATGGGAGATGGGATGGTCGGAAAGACCAGCATCTCCGAGAGCTATGCTGAGAAGTCCTTCAAGGAGAATTATGAAGCCACAGTGTTTGACAACTATGTCGTTCCCCTGCAAGTAGCCGGAGAGGAGTTTGTTATCAGCATGTTCGACAACTCAGCCGAGGTATGTAGCAAGATCCATATCGGTGTAACGGGATGAGACATCAAATTTAATCAATGGTTACCGATATTTATTAATTTGGATATTTTCTTGTTTTGATTAAGACTTACATTTTGTCTGCATTGTTCTACATTACAAAGTACTTATGGTTCCTTCTTTCCCTTTCCAGAAACGTTTTGAGAGTCTAAGAGCATTCTCCTATCAGGAAAGTGAAGTCCTGGTCCTCTGTTTCTCCACCTGTGACCGGGAAACGTTGGCCAGCATCAATGACGTGTGGATGCCTGAACTGAAGAGACACTCCAAACACACCAAACAGAAGAGACCGGTCATCCTCGTGGGCACCAAGATAGACCTCCGAGTCGGGAATGAAGACAGCGAAGTCTCCACTGACGAGGGTGTCCAGTTGGCCAAGGACATTGGTGCTGACTGCTATGTGGAGTGCTCGGCTCGCGACCACAAGGGCTTAAAGGAGGTCTTTCAGCATGTCGTCTTCTCCGCTCTCAAGTTCAGGAAAAAGAACACAAACATTATCAAGAAGATATTCAGACGCAAAAGTGGCTCATTTTCAAATTATTAACTGTTCGCGAGTCAACAATTATAGATGAATTCAGTTTCCACTCAATGCAAAGTGACAAAGGGACAAATGGAAAACAAATGTATGGCAAATGACCTTTTCTATGTGGATGCCTGTACAAACTGTGATACTGCTTGCAGCTGATATCCTCAGTGCTATAAGAAGTGTTTTCCTTCTGAGCTCCTGCCTTTATCGATTTTATCTGTGATATATTTCAGCTGTGATAGCCTGAGAAGGAACTGTGATATTCGTGATAACTTATTCATGTCGAATATAATATTAAGATGCAACCCAAACAGATTTTAATCACAAAAGTGCATTGTTTTGTATGTTTTTTATTGTCATTTGTTCTTGTTGAATTTTAATAAATATTATGAGTTTCAATTTTACTTTGTCATCTTATGACTTAGTAGTAATGACTAATTTTAATGCACAGTGAAACCTTTTTTATTACAAATCATTTTGTCCCATATATCGTTTAAGACAATCCCGTCAAAATCATTCTTTATTCAAAACATCGTCTGACATCGACACATGTTTGCCAGGAACTACGGCCACACGATGAATGTTCAATGGTTCTCGAATTAACAAGGTTTCGCTGTAGATTATCAACTGGAGAGTTAGTTTCACGCTGTTCCGATTAACAGCGACAAAAAACAATTGCCATAATCACCAGCGATCTCTACTGAAAATGGACTCTATTAGAAGCATGTGCTTATGCATCAATATCAAATGGTGATGACACAGGTGTTCGCGAATAAGTGAGCGTATCCTGACCTACCGGTGGCACCCGTCACATAATGGATTTCAAATACATCGTGTACTGTAGTCATGTGGCGAAGTGTGCCAGTTGGCTACTGTAACGACTCTGTACTGACTATAAGCATTAGTTACTATATTACATTTACTGACAGATAAGTTGCAGATCTTAGTCTCACCTTAAACAATATAAATACACTAGACAAATAGTGAACGTCGCTAGTCCGGAAACACCGTCTTCTTGAATTACGGAGTATAATATAATATGTTTAGAATTAGTTAAAAGCGATAACACTCTTTCCATGATCATACGAAAGCTCTGCTTAAGCACAGTGCTATTATTGGCTTAATAGTATAAGAAAAACATATTTGATTTAGGAGGGAAGGGCGAATAACAAACATATTGAATTTCAATCAGTATATCGGATTTGGGGCAAAGTGTTGGCGGTGAATGTGTTACAGTGGAAGGGATATATCTGTAATCCTCACGTGGTATCGGCTTGATGTCAAGTTCATAGACAAGAATGAAACTGTCGAATTGTTTTTCGGACTCAAGCATATCATTTCAATATGATGATATAAGCGACACACTCTTTTTCATTACCATAAGAAATATCTTCTTGAAGCAGAGTCCATTGTAAAATTCCGACTATATCACACGCATGTGTCTATGAATCACTATCAATAACGGATGACACCAGGTGTTCAAAAAAGTGAGAGTATCCTGCCCCACAAGTTGCACCCATCACAAACACATGCAAAGGCAAGTCAGGTTTACACCACAAGTATTGAAACAGATTCCTACATTCTCAAACTTGAAATACATCCTTAATTTTTAACTATTACAAACCCTTCTTTAGTGGAAAATAGTTTTGTAGCCCGTACTCATACTGCCTGAATCGTATGTGCGTGAAGCAGCTTTTGAACGTACACCAAGCTCCATCGAAAGTTGATCTTTACAACGCTTGGTTCAAGGCTCTTTACAAATTCGTGGGGTCATAACCGGGTATTTATTAATGCAAGTTTTGAAAACAGAATTTCGAGAGCCCTGAACAAGGATATATTTATTTGTATGTTTCTTAGTTTTTCTCGTCAAAAGTTTATCTAATAACTTTAAAATGAGTATCGTTATAGGCAAAATAATGTAACAACATTATACATATGGTATGTATTTTCTAAGCTTTACAGGATTATAATAGCTATTTTAATACATTTCATTTTTTTAACAACCGTTCGCAATTGTGTCGCTGTAGCCGTGATTGACTATTACACGTCTACAAATCATATGATGTGGGTTAAAGCCCAACGGGTGATACTTGTCTTCCGACAAATTTTGAAATCCTTCACTTAGGTGTCAAAATATAAAAAATAGTTCCGTCTATTCCAAGTTTACCTTATTGAAATATGGTTTCAACATAATGTAGGCGTTAATAACTGACAACGACGTAGTTCTTTTCTGAAAAAAAATGGATCGATTAAACATTGAAGTGACGTCACAGATGTGTTTAATTGTATTGATCAACAAACTAAACGCATGCTGTCTGTGCCTAGGTCGACATTCATTGAATATTACCAAGTTGTATTTGCAATAAACTAAAGTGAGGAGCAAAAGAAACTATTCCTCTAAGTTGATTTTATTACACAGTTGATTTTCAATGGAAAATATCTTACTTCAGCGATATCATATCAAAAGACTTAACTGCACCGGCGCTGAGGCAGCACTCAAATCATACTTTTGCATGGTACTATTTTTAAAAATATAATTTGATTTAAAACTTAAAAAAACAACAACAAAAACAAACAATTTGCATAATATACAACTGCTGGTGTGTATTTTATACATTTTATCTATGTAAATCAACGAATTTTCTATTTGCACTAACTTATAACATTTCAAACATGGAAGGGGTCATGTGATTGCAAATTCATTTCTTACCCAGTCTTCATTGAACCAATTTATTTTTATACAAAATTACCCAGCCGCAGATTACATTTTTACAAACTTTTGCAGGAAGGAGGGCGGTTAAATAGATATAATCAAATTTAACAGTTCTTTCAATTTTCAATTATATAAAAAAATATTCGGTATGCTGTCTTTTGCCCCGCAGTTTAACACCCGGAGTTTAAAATCCATGAAGTTACTCAATCCAAGCTCGGCCCGCAGACAGGAAGATGTTTTAATGTGCAGCGTTCAGGGTCATAACCATCACTGAATAAACAACGTGATTAAGCCAATCAACAATGTTTATCCATCATTCCTTAATTAGACTAACTTTAAAACAACATCTGGACAAATCTACTAATTTTCTAAGGCTCTCCTGCATTTCTTTCTGTACACACAACTCAAGACATGCCACTCAGTGTGTGCCATCCATCACGTGGCCGTCTAGCCACGAGTCATCTGGTTCTAGCTTCTGATTGGTAGAATCAGAGTATATAGCAAGACATCACTTCGCGACAGTACAATCGATCTGAGCTTTGCAAACTAACAACTCACGATGAAGGGAGGAAATACTATGAAGAATCTCGATAAGAAATTCCTGTACTGTGCCATCATGGGAGACGGGATGGTCGGAAAGACCAGCATCTCCGAGAGCTATGCTGAGAAATCCTTCAAGGAGAATTATGAAGCCACAGTGTTTGACAACTATGTCGTTCCCCTGCAAGTTGCCGGAGAGGAGTTTGTCATCAGCATGTTCGACAACTCAGCCGAGGTATGTAGCAAGTTAGATTTTAGCGTAACGGGATGAGACCCCCGATTTACTAAATGTTTATTGATTTTATAGATTTCCATCTATTTCCTGTTTGAATTATGCTTTTCTTAATGCAAAAAATGTGTTTGTGATTAATTACCCTTTCATAGAACTGATATTTTCTTCTTTCTATATCCATAGTTAGATCTAACAGTTTCTATTAATCATTTTGATTGTCTATTTTTTCTGCATTGTTTATGAACAATTTTAAGATTTACATTTTTTCTGCATTTTTCTTCATTACAAAGTAGTTATGGTTCCTTCTTTCCCTTTCCAGAAACGTTTTGAGAGTCTAAGAGCATTCTCCTATCAGGAAAGTGAAGTCCTGGTCCTCTGTTTCTCCACCTGTGACCGGGAAACGTTGGCCAGCATCAATGACGTGTGGATGCCTGAACTGAAGAGACACTCCAAACACACCAAACAGAAGAGACCGGTCATCCTCGTGGGCACCAAGATAGACCTCCGAGTCGGGAATGAAGACAGCGAGGTTTCCACGGACGAGGGTTTCCAGTTGGCCAAGGACATTGGTGCTGACTGCTATGTGGAGTGCTCGGCTCGCGACCACAAGGGTTTGAAGGAGGTTTTTCAGCATGTCGTCTTCTCCGCTCTCAAGTTCAGGAAAAAGAACACAAACATTATCAAGAAGATATTCAGACGCAAAAGTGGCTCATTTTCAAATAATTAACGGTTCGTGAGTCAACACTAGATGAATTCAGTTTCCATTCAATGCAAGGTGACAAAGGGACAGAATTGAAATTGAATGAATTGCAATTCCCCAAACTGTGATACTGCTTGCAGCTGATACCCTTAGTGCTATAAGAAGTGTTTAACTTCCGAGCTCGTGCCTTTATAAATTTTATCTGTGATTTATTTCAGCTGAGATAAACCGAGAAATGACTTTGGTTTACCTCATGTTTCCCTATGCATCGAATGTATGCTTCGATCTGTCTTTATTGAACATACTTCTGTGGCAAAAGATCCTTATTTGTTGTGTTTTCCATTGTGATTTGTTCTTGTTGAGGTTTGAATAAATGTGGTGACTGTCAATTTCACGTTTGTCATGAGTTTTTGACTTGTACCATATGTTCCCGTGTTTCTTTAGAACAATTGATTTGCCTGTGCATGTGTGTGTGACGTATGCTGCCGGTGGGGCAATATATGCCCACCTTCTCGCGAACATCTGGTATCATCACTATTTGATAGTGGTTCATAAACACATGCATCAACACATACGAGGGTTGATTAAGTTCTGGGACACACATAGAACTAGACCAAGAACTTGGAGAAAAATGGCGTAAAACAAAACAACACCGATGAAGATTTGAGTGCAACATTTGGGAAGGATGCCCCCTTCTTATGTCAGCGTAACGAGGCAAGCAGCAGAGTTTAAGCGTGGCAAGGAATCCTTGAAGATGACCCCAACACATGACGACCTTATATAAATATAGCATTTATCCATTCTATAATTCACATTGTGAGGTTGTTCCCGGT